TTCTCAATTATTTATGAATCTTAATGTCACAATTTAATATATAAACTAGTTCATATTAGTATTTTGCTTTGAGGCAAGTTACATGAACTTCCCGATATGTGTAAATAATCTACTTAATCAATAAAAAAATAAATTAATTTATGAGTAATTAAATGTATTCCTAGTGGATTTATTGCACATAATTGAAAACAATGAACACTTTAACTCGAAGTATTTTCTAAAAGCAAATTTTCAAAAATCAAATTTTTATAATTGAAACAGTTTCCGTGGGCCTTCAATGGTTTAGTATGTTTATTAAATACTCTATCATTATATCAAGTGAATCGCCTAATTTTAATTTTAACAAACGTCAAAAAAACTACTAATTTTCTCAAACTTTGATGAATTTTTAAAATTAAACTACTTGTTGTAAGGCCGTAATATTTCAGTGAGTTCTATAAGAACATGATGTATATCTCCAAAAAAAGTTCCATAAATATGCGCTAAAATAGAAATTTATAATATAATTTTTTCTTCAACAGTTAATTACCAGAAAACAGCTCGGTAGATTTTCACCTAAATCTAATCAGTATCATTCCCAACAAATATCTTTCGAACAGTTTTTGATTTTTTAAAATCGATTCGGTAGTTTGGGCTTAAATGTGGACGAAAAGTCCCTTTTTTTCAAATTACAAAGAAACGGCTCGGCCGATCGTGGCACAAACTGAGAATTTCTAAATTTCTGAATTCGGTTCAGGAGTTTTTGAGCAAACGTCGATGAATGGTCTAATTTTGACAAATGCCAAAAAACACGATACTAATTTTTGTAAACTTTGAAGAATTTTTAAAGTTAAACGAGTTGTCGTAGGGCCGGACACACACGCGCGCACGCACACACACACACATACTTTTTCCAAATTTAGTCTCATTCGATTCAGAATGGCTTGAAACATCGAGAAAACATAAAATTAGCAAATCAAATTGACGAAAACAAACTTCTTCTTCGGGAAATTAATAAGATATATAAAGATGATTTGGATATTATATACTGACCTAGTAGGCGCGAGATCAACACGTGCACCGATTGGCTTATTTGCCATACCCTTGCATGGACCACTCGATGTTGGGCCGATCACGTATCTGTAAACAACATATCATATAGTTATAAAATTTGACTATATATCATTTTTATTTACAACATATTTCCGAATAATTCCTAAAATTTGTGAATTACGTATTGAATTAAACGACATTTTGTAGGCCCATAATAGATGGTAGGCCTATGATAGAGGTTAAGACCATGAACTGTATCTTCTTACAAAATATTTTCAAAATCGTTTGGTATATAAATAGCCCATCCGATCTTTAGCAACACGCAATCAACACTATAACCTTCTCATATGTTTCGAAAGGATTTTAAATTTTGACAATTTTCCACACTTTAATCTGCTAGTTATAAAAAAAACGGTTGAGCTGATCGCCGCGCAAAAACGTGAGTCAACGTGAGTCCTTATCAAATTTTATAAAACTTTTGATCAGTGCAGACGTTTTTCAGAAAACTGGTTTACATACAACCTTTTTCCCCATTTTAAGATCAAATGATACAGAATGACTTATTAAAATGTTCGCAGACAGCAAAGTTTGCAGTGAAGTACCAAAAAAATGATAGTTCTTTTATAAATTGGTTGTGATATCCAAAATTTGTAATATGTATCTTATATATAAAAATGGAGCTCTCGATCAAATGATTCGCTAAAATTCGAAAACGGCTGAACCGATTGGCCAGTCTTAGTCTTGAAAAATTCGTGCTAATCAGTAGGTTGTCGAAAAGGTGAGATATTATTTCAAAATCGAGTAGAATCTTTACATTTTTAATATGAAAATTTTTGTAGAAGCGTAATTTGAATAAAACAATGGGCGGTGGCTAAAACGTCAAATGTCAAACGTTTTTGACAGATAATATTCAATTACGTTTGATAGGATGTCTTACGCAAATATTATTTAATAATGAATAAATTGAAGTGAATAGTTTTGTTTGTAGTTTTATTTGTGCACAAAAACGTTATTAAACGGGCGGCAAGTGTTACTATAAACTCCAAATATCAACTTTTTTGAAATGTTCATATGAAAATGCACTTTTTGGCATATTTTTCTCAAACACGGTGCTCTGAAAGATGTTATTTATATAATTATATACTCATTGGTATTTATAGAACATTTTCTAGGTTATATTATTTTTTATTTATGTTATTTTATTTCAGAACCTAAATTTGGTATCAATCAAGGAGACATTTTGTCGAATAACATTTTCCCAGTTATAGTTTTCCAGAATTTATCGGAGAATATATAGTAATTTATGAAGGTCCGGGGTTAAAAAGGTCCACCACCGATGTGTCAAAAACCAGCAAAGTTAAGCATTGTTTAACAACAATATTTGGAAGTAGAGGGAGAAGATGTACAACCAGCTATAACCTTGATTCTTATGACTTTGCTCTCGAGAGATAAAGAGTTATCTTTGAAAATCCATAATACTTTTTATTAAATTTACTTTAATTCATCGAATATTACTTAAAACTTTTCAAAAAGCAGGCGAAAAAAGAAATACTTAATTCATTTTCTATCGCAGAAATTTGAAAATGTTGTATAAGCTCAGTAGTATTCTTTACAATTATATATAAAATCCAAATCCAAAAAGAATCTGAAAAACTTATACACATAAAGTATTAATATTTTTGATTCTCTAGAAATTGTGTAAAATATATACCTTACTTAGCAAAAAAAAAACGTTTGCCGGGTCAGCTAGTATATATATATATATATATATATATATATATATGTTACAAATTTTGGATGTATAAATTATGTATATAGTAGTACCTTGGCTGCTCGATTAATCTGGCAGAATTATTGCTTGTAGCACTTGACTTCTTCAGATTATCATATATATTTGCACTGGAATCCTATAATAAAATTATTTCATTTTTAATTTACATTTTAATAGATCTATAATATTTAATTATATAATTAAAAGAGAAACATATTATCAAGCATTTTTCTAGTTCAACTTAGTTGTCGGTTCCGTTTCGGACATATAATTATGGAAATAATTATTATTTTCACTGCTAACCCTGTGCAATTTCTCTTGTGCTAATTTTTATTTGTCTATTTGATATTAAATACAAGTATACCTGAACATGATGTAATTTCAGCTAATAGTGAAAAAGAAAACAAAATTCATACCAGGATACTGGTCTCAAACCATGTGCTAATGAGCCAGGTTATGCAATCATGCTTAACTTTTTTATGCTCGTCCTTGTGATCTTCTACACATATGATTAGACAATATTCTACATTTTTCACATTTAAATGTTACATTTTCATGTTTTATATTTTTTTTAATTTCTCGGTGTTTTTTACTGTTTCATGTTTCTATGTAATAAAATTGCAGGCGATAATTAGGATTACGTATATTTAAAATAATTGCAGAGTACGTAAGTAACTATTTATAGAATATATTTTATAGAAATATTTTACCTTATCGATTTCCCTTACTCGGGGAACCAGAGGCCCAATTTGTAATGAAGAGTTGATGGTAGCATCTGCCACCGATTCCTCCGATTTTGGAACTTCATTGTTGCCTGCCTGATCAACAGAATCTGAAGCCCTACTATTTCTTCTAAGTGTTGATGATATCCGAGGCGGTGGAGGTGGTGGTGTTCTGTTAAATAAATTAAACTTCATAATTGAAAGTTTTTATAAACTTAGTATATAGGTCAAATTTATATATGTATATATATATATATATATATACATTATACATATATATATATATATATATATATATATATATATTTTATTAATATTGATTTATATTTGAATAACATACATATTTGACGGAGAGTGATTGCTAATTAGCATTTTATTAATACTAGAATTACGGACCAAGCCAATTTGATTTAATGAAAATTAATGAATATGTACATATAAATCTATACACATTGGTACATAGAAGTATGGCATTGAAGTACTTGATCAAATAGTAAAAAATGTTATAATGATTTTTTCGATAAACTTTTTATTTAAATTGTCTTAGACTTATATTTAAAAAAAAATTACATGAGCCTATTTGGCTAACCTCAGTAAAAATAGATATAATGAACACATGTAAATCTAGTGTTAATATAGATCTGCTATTTAAAAATATATAAAAAAGAAATTACTTTGCAAATTGTAACAGGCGAATATCATGTACAGCTGGAAGTGTGTATCTTTTTGTGACATCCTCTTGTTCTGGATAATCTGGTAAAACCTAAACATTTAAAATGACTTAATAGATTATATTATAAAATAAAGCATGCATAGATATAGAATTCAAAAACATGAATGTAAGATAAAAAAATACAGCTTAAAATTACAATATTTTATAGTAATTTTGTCGTTCTCACATAAAATAGTTAATTGTATTTTATTCACAATAAAGATATATAAATACTGTATTTTCAAAAAGTAATACAACAAGACTCTCGCTAAAAATCTAATTCAATCTCTTTAAGTTTTTTTTCTAGGAGCTTGTTGAAATAAAGAAAAAAAACTTATGATGTATGAACACAATTTTCTGTAATTCTTCTTTGTAAAAGAAGTTATGATAATATCTAATAGCTTTCTCAATAAATGAAGTAATGTCTTTTTAGGAGAATTGTTGATCTTTTCCTTTATTCCCATATATTATATATAAGATTATTACTACTTATTACTGATCAATATACATTTTCTGAGTATAGTACCATTAGATAATAAACTCATATTTTAATTATACTGTAATTCGATATTTAAAAAGAAAAAAATTGCTAACCATATTTAATTGACATATTTTGCTATAATGAGCAAGTAAAATTACAGAGTTTGAGTTGGTAATAACTTCTTTGTGGTAGGTTTGATAAGAAATTTGAACCACGTTCTGATAAATTACTCATCAATTTAAAAATATAAAAATTATTACATATAAAAAAACTGAACTGACCTTCGGAAAATTTCGTCGTTTTATCGTCTGAAGAGTTTCTTCGGCTGTCGGTGGTGATGAACATTGAAAGTCCACCTCATCACGACTCGTAACATTGATATCAGAAAATGTTTGTAATTTAACTACAGGCTATAATATAATAAAATACATTTAATTTAACTGATATTTAGGACAACATTAATTAACTTTCCAAGGTAATAATTATAATACATTACCGAAAACCATTTAGTTTTTGAAACGAAGATAATATATAGTTTATTACTACTTCTATTGGATATAAATGTTGAATATTGACCCTTAAGCGGTTACATAGTAAAATAGCTAAAATTTCAGAAATCTGATCATATTTTATTTATCTATCGCTAAAAATGTTTTTCTTGATAATTAGCTTTTGGAAGTATGTACATTCAATTTGTGGCAAAAAACGACTAAAGTTTACTATATATAGTATACAAGTATCAATTTACCTGTGGTGGTTCTGGATCCGAAACTGATCGAAAATGTTCTATTTTCACAACAGTTGGTTCGAGATTATGTCCACATTTTCCACCTGTTAATGAAAATTGGAAATATTGTTAATATAACTATTCACATTAATTTGCTGTTTAAATAAATAGTAATATTTAATCTCATTTATAATTTTAAAGTAGAAATATAATAAAAACGCATGAACTACAAATTTTGAACACAGTGCATATGCAATGACTCATTTCAAATATCTTTTTTAAATTTGAGAGTTTTGAAAACTATAAAAGCTCACAACATTTCTATATTGCTTAAAATTGAACCATTTCTATATTGCTTAAAATTGAACCATTATTTAAATGTAACAAAATCTATCATAGTTGTCTGTTTGATTGTGTTGTAATTTAAAATACATATATTTTTTTCTATGGAAGTTTTAGTACTAGTATATGTAATAACTTATATTTCTGATTAGAAAATTCTAATATATGTCCCAAAACAATGCATTTACAATAAATAAAAACAATAAATTTAATAAAATATTTCGAAATTACCTTAAGTTAATCTCATTCTCATATTACTATTTTAGGAGCTGTTCTATTTTAAAAAGTCTAAATATTAATAAGGTTGTCAAATATCTCCCTTCCGCCTTTTTGTATTATAAACCAAGAGAAAAAAAGCGGAAGGGAGATATTTGACAACCTAATATATATGTTCTCGGTTATATATCGTATTTATTACATACATTTATAAATAGAATTTCTTCATTAAATGTAAAAAACCTCAATTTTAATTAAATTTTTATTTGACAATTTGAAAGTATTCCAGGTCGGAATTGTTAATATTGATATAACAAATTTGAAATTCAGAAATTCGACAGTATTAGTAATAATTTCAGTAATAATTAAAATATTATGTAATAATTTATTGGTAATAGTTTAAAAAACGAAACAGCAGAAATCATTAAATTAAATCATTAAAAAACACACAGTTTGGATTCCGAAGTTTTCTTTTTCTAAATTGGAGGATTTATTACAAAGAACAATAGTATAAATATTATTAAACATTTTCTCGGTTATATATATCGTATTTTCTGCATTTTGTAATTTAATTATTAAGAATCGGAATTATTAATATTAATATGACTAAGTTAAAATTCAGGAATTCGCTTTGTTAGTCAGTTGATATTTAATAATACGAATAACAATTTTTTAATACTATTGACTATTATTATTTGCTATTAACTATTGGTTATTAATAATTTATTGGTAATACTTTTAAAAATAAAAAAACAGAAATCATTAAATAATATGAATTAGAGAATAGTATTGTAAAAATGATAAAAGCAGAGTTGTACATTATAATAACTGCTATAAAAATAATGAATTAGTTGATTTTCCAGGTGAATAATCATTTGCATCAAATAATTATTAATTAAAAATTTCAAATCATCAAAAAATTGTGGGAATAATTTGCAAAATACCGGAGTGTTAAATAAACTAAGTACCAATCAAATAGTAAATTTTCACCTGCTCGTCGTCAAGCTCATTACTCGGAAAGGAAGAAAATGAGCTATCTTCACTCATTTCGTCAATGATGACATCAGCTCTCGTTTTCTTGGTGAATTCTATGGGTTGTTGTCTCAAAACAACACTATCTCTAGCTGATGGAGTCGCATCTATGGCTACTGACACTTTATTTGGTTTTTCGGTATAAGTTGCTGATATCGGATTAGAGGTCGTTGGATTAGGAGCAGTGGCGTTGGCGCTCACCTGTAATAGAATTACATAAAATACAAATTTGAAATTTATTTCTGAATATTGTTTATTATAGCACACATTCTAAGCATTGCTCCACCGATCGAAAGTAAAAATTTTATTGCACTTGAGTACGAAACTGGTAATCACTCTGTTATTATATATGTAACAATACTTCGTAATAGTTATAAACAAAAGTTTCCATTTTGTGAAGGCAAAAAAGTATTGACCCAGAATTTAAATATAATTGATTTCATATAAATACAATTGAATTTTAATACATTCTATTAAAAATTTTCGAAATATTTTCCTTTTACTTACAAAATTCACTGGTGCTTTCAATGATCCAGTCAACGCCCCTCGTTTGGCATTCGGTTTTGGCAAATGTGATTGCTGAAAAAATTAAATTAATTAAAAAACATTGTTTAAAACATTATTATTGTATTTTATTATATGAATGCAGATAACATGATTGAGCACACTCTTCTTAGCTATGAATTTTTTATTTGTAATAATTTTTGGTTTATCACTGAAAAATGTGAAAAAGAAATTTCAATATTAAAAACCATATGAAGTATTTCAAATAATGTTTTTTGGAATACTCCTATAATGTTGATCGTTACATTATTAGGAGTTCTACACGATTACACATTTTTAAATATAATTTGGTTGTAGTGAAAATTTGAACTAGAATTTATTGCTATTGTGTGAGTTGTAGGTGAAACTTCATTTGCGTAATTTAGCAAATTACTACAATATTAAATAATTCCAATAAATCTTATAAAATAATATACTGTCGTGAAGAAATATTTTCAAAAGTAACAGTTTAAAGACAGAAAAACCCGCCAATAGATAAAAATTTCAACAATTTTCATTAATATATGTTCAGTCATATTTCAGTTTCATCATACCAATTTTACAATATTGTAACGACAATCGGTATGTCGTCAAAAGGGTTGCATAACCACCAGTGCAATGACGCTCCCCACCACGCCAATAGGGATGCCAATATAAGGTCCAGTCTGGGTTTGAAAAATAGCATTAAGAATTGTATCATCCTCTGAAGAGGTCAGTGGGTCCAAGCGC